TCACACCTGTGGCGGGTGTCAAGCGGGAGCACCCCCCGCATCTCCAGAATGACGCCACTGGTGAGGGCTACATTAAATTAAGAGCTATATGGGGCTGTTATAAGAAAATGCTGGTTGCCTGGCTTTTACATGGACCCCTGGTTTTAACACTTTGGGGTTTGCTAAAACAAGAGAGTGCAAAATCTGGGGCCGCTCAGATAGAAACCAATCAGCTTCCAGGTTTTGTTGTCAAAGCTTAATTGAACAAGCTGAAGTTATAAGCTGATTGGCTACCAGGGGCGGACTGACCATTTGGAAACTCAGGCACTGCCTGAGGGCCCGGGGGTCAGTAGGGGGCCCCATGAGATGCCCCTGGTATCTTTTTTTTTACGCTTTTTTGAGTTTGGTCAAGGACACAGGGGCCCCATGATCCCCTATTGCCCGGGGGCCCCATGAGTTGTCAGTCCGCCCCTGTTGGCTACCATGCACAGCTGCACCAGATTTTGCACTCTTCAGTTCTAGTAAATCTACGCCATTATTGGTCACTGACCCAAAACATATATGCAGATTGGAAGTGTTAGAAGTCCTTAATGTAGACCTAAATTCAAAAAAGTGAAGATTTGCTATGTAATTGGGAACATATAGAATTGTTAATTACATCTAAGCACTACCTGGAAAAATGTCCCATTGTCTTGCATTCCTCTCCTCTTGAAAATTAGCAGTGCACTTCCTGGTATGTGTGTGTGCTTAGGCAGTGCGAGATCTAAGGCACTGCTCTCTCTGACTACTAGTCTCGTGAGATTTTGACTGAGATTTGGTAATGTTATTACTGTGTTTCTCACTGTTCTCCTGGCTGAAGGCATGAGGAAACAAAGCCTTGCTTCTACCAAGATAGCTGCCGCCATACAGATACACAATGCAGAACAAGAATTTTGTTATTTTTATTCTGTAAAACTTACTGCTGTTTGCAGCTGCTGCTTGTAGTGCATTCATGCTCCAGGCCTGGTGCATGTTCATTTTTGTGCATGTGTCTATGGTGCAAAGTTAAAAAACCAATGCCAATTGAGCATAGAGCAATGATGCAACTGACCATGCTTAATTTGTGAACTTGAACTGCGGGGGTCAAGGCAAAAAGGCATATGCTGGCACATAGAATAAAATAAATAATAAATAAAATAAAAACCTGACAAAGGTTGTAACTATGCACCCAATCCAAAACCAAATGTAAAAAATTGTCTGTACTTAGGTTTTAAAACCACCTCCTAGAAACCTAAAATCAAATACCTTTATAATATATCCATTATAGAAAAATGACATTATAACAATATTGACAACAGCACCATTAGGAATAATGATGGGGTCTAGTTGGGAAAAACATTTAATGAGAAGTGTCCCTTGTGCTGGTGCCAGCTGTACTAGTTGAAATCTTCTGCCATCCTCCAGCCCAACACAAACAGCCGCAGCACTAATATTCTGGTTCTACAGGGGTTAATACAGCTGCTGGACCGGTCATAGGCACTTGCAAAGAGTCTGCCCTTTCCACCCCCCCTCATCCATTCATAGAAACTGTACTTTAGCTTTCATGAATAAAAAGCTCTTTATGAATGGAGGAGACAGACCTTTTATTTATCCACCCATCCTCGATTCATGGAGCACTTTTCATTGATAGAAGCTGCTAAAATCAAACTTCTATGAATGAAGAAAGACAGTGTTGGCATAGTAAGCACTCTTGACAAGTGCCTATGACACTATGAATAAGACCCTAACCAGAAAAGCTAATAGGGTTTTAAAGGTACCATACCATACATTAAAGAGAACTTTACAAAAATGTATAATAATATATAATTTAGGGGTGCAGTACCAGTAAATCCTTCTACCAAGGATCGGAGACCTCTGGTCTCCATCTCCCACCGTATCTATATCTAAAGTGCCTATGACAGATCCAGTGGCTGTAATAATCTCCATAGTACTGGAAGATTACTACTGCGAGGGGTTTGACGAGAGGCAGAGGGTGAAAGATTTCAAAAAAGGACAACCAGCCTAAGAAATATTTCTCATTAAATGTAAGTACCATCCCCTGTGCTGAGTTTTAAAAAAATGAACCATAGTTAGGCTTTAAGATAGTTCAAGATGTTGGGTTAAGCTTGGGGTATGGGGAAAGGGTTAGCATTAGCGTTGGCTTTCCCTAGCACTAAGCCCACTTCCTGAGTCTCACTATTAACCAGTCAGGTTTAGGCTACTAGACAGGCTTTGAAGGTGGGATGGTGCAGGCGATCATCTCTCAACCCAGAGACATCCAGGCACTAAACTGAATAGCAAACATGTGCCTACTATGTTTGGATTAGGTACTTATTTTACTCCAGATTTGCTTAAAATGTTGTGATTTGCCACAAAGTAACAAAGGGCAGTGGAATACTGGGCCCACAGAAATATTTCACGGTCAACTATAGCTTGAGGTGATTGTAGCCATATTAGTGCACTTGCAACAGAAACAATTGAGTACTGTCTGTGATACTTTTTGTATTTGCACTAAAATATACTTTTTTAGGACAAGCTTTCAGGGTGTACCCCCTTCTTCGGGAAGAAGGAGGCACACCCAAAAGCTTGTCCTGAAAAATTGTATGTTAGTACAAATAAATACGTATCACAGACAGTACTCAAATGTTACGGTCAACTATAGAAAAGCTATAGAAATTCTCCAGTGGAAATATCCTGTCATTCTATTCCAGTGACAACTGTGCAATTTTAAAATTTCCTTTTACTTGACACAAAGTAAAAATGAATCTCTCCAGATAGCAAGAAATTCTTGATGGAGGCACTAACATTTCCTCATTCATTGTAGAAGTAGAAAAAAAGGTTTAGCTGGAAATCCTCTTTTACATTTACTGACCTGCATTCCACGTATAGTTTTTTAGGAAGGTGGTTATCCTTTACATTTTCCTATGCATAGATGATTAACTTGACTTTCTGCTGAGCAAAGGAATGAAACAAATGGGAAAACAACACAAGTTTCTCCAGAAGTAATGGTGATGGTGATGTCATACCAGACATTGGCCCATTCTTGACATTGTAGGTTAATATTTTCAAGTTTTAAAGACCTCAGTGTTGAGTCCCGCTCAGAGGTGACTGTCCTCATTTCAGCTGCCTGGGAACAGCTAGGACCAGTCAAGTGGAGCCAGGTAGCCTCTGTACTTGAAATACATCATTAATTTCTTTAGTATTCACTGCCCTATTTGTCATAAGCTAACAGCTTGTCTGACATTTCTCATGATAGTCTATGATTTATTTAGGGGCGGACTAGTCTCTTCCCAGCTCAGACCTTGTTAAAAAAAAACCTCTGCCAAGGGGCTGCAGAGAGTAGAGAGAAGCTCACAGAACAGAAAACATCCAAACAAGTAAGTACAAATCTAGAGGGAAGTGAAACTATCTCTGTCTATGAACAAAATTTGCCTGTCTTAGGAAATAATTCCTATGAAATTGTTATCATTTGCTATACCTTATAAAATTTGAATGCAAATACCAGTCTCACCGGCTCAGTAAAACTTTTTTTTTTATACTAAGCAGATTATATGTAAATAGATTAGAGTTATCTTTAACATTTACATTTTTTTGTTAAAAAAACAAAGAAAAATGTTTAACCTGCTGCATTTGATGCACTTGTACTATGCAAAACTCAACCATGGTTTACATGCATTCTATTTTTTGTAAAAAAAAAATAAAATAAAAGTTTAACATTCTGCATTTGATGCACGTTTACTATGCAGAACTCGGTTATGCTTTACAGGCCCAGGAGGAACAACTAACTGGTATGGGAGTTTTCCTCCTATTTTTATTCTCTGGCAAAATACTACACCCACCAAATGTAATTGCTACAGTACGCTTCCTAATGGATTCTCCTGTAAAGATATTGATAAATAGGAGATGGATGTTGTATTTGTTACTGGAGAACAGTGGGAAACACTATGAATTTAACCAATGCTTATTTAATGTGACCCAACGACACACTAACGGCACATTATACACCATCGAAATTATGTAAACTTGATGAACCTACCTGCGGTAGGTGTCGGAGAGACCATAGTGACCAGATTAATTTGCTGTGCGGATGCTCCAAATTAGACACATGCATTTTGTTATGATTCATTTTTCGGACGAATACAGTTGTTTTTATTCGGATGATGTCACATGATGCAATATTAGTTCGGTTCCATGGACAAATGAACTCAATTTTCAAATTTGTTTTATAATTCGGATACCAATTGGGTCCAAATTTTGTTCCATTGGTTAATTCGGATGCACATGACACCAGTCATTATCGTCCAATTGGCCCATGCCATTTCTCTTGGTGGGTTGAACTAGTGGCTGAAAATATTGAATCCTTTTGATTCAAATCCATCCAATTGGATAATGTATTGAATGTATAGCAATCTTCTGTAAAAACTGCAAAATTTTTCGAATGCACTTGGACCAACAACTGCTAGATACAGAACAAATACCAAAAATGAATATGCTGGAAAAAAAATTATTCAATGTATGAATGAATCCAAAAATAAACAAACATTTCCGATGTTCACATGTCTACAACACTGAAAACCAACTGACCCCCTCCCCCAGATTACATAAAGAATGGCTATATTATATGAATGATACCTTGAGACTCGAACACCTTATTTTCCAGCATCGGGGCTGTACCATTGAATTTGAGAAACTATGGGGTTGACGGTTAGAAACCTCAGGCAGTTGCCCCCTTATTCCAATGACCTATATATTCTTACATGGTGTGGGAACTCGCTTATTAGTGGTAGAGCTTCTTCAAAGCACACGGCAACTCGCTTATTTTTAAGGGCCTTTTTGCCCACTTTTATTTAAATGAAAGTCCTGTAACATAAAGGTTTCCCGCGCAGGGGTTTCCACCATCACACAAATGCAAATAATACTCAGCCTTCTGGCTCTCTCAGATATCCCGCTTTATATATGTCTCCTACAGACGCCTTCCACGAGGTTGCTTTTGCACACAGCAAACTTCTAGCACACAGCTAGTCTGGCTTCCACCTCTCCTAGGTGAAGCCCACCTGACTCCAAGGCAGTGACCTCCTGCCTGCCGGGGTGGAGCCCTCCTGCCTCCTAGGCAGAGACCTCCCGTCTGCCTGGGTGGAGCTCAGAATCATGTCCTGGCCTCCACAAAAAGGCCTGCACACACCTGTGCAATCAGCACGCTGGCTGCTACCAAAATATGGGCCCAGGATTGGAGATTTTTCATCCCTCCCAAATCTCTAAGAAATCTCCAGGCTACAGGTCCCAAAACAGGCTTTACAAACCAAAGAGGAAACTTATAAATCAGTTTCCTCTGCATTGTGAGAACTGCCTGGAGCCCCTCAACCAGTATAGTTGAGAATCCTGGGTCTCCATCATGATTTCCACCGTGGCAGGATACCGTACTGCCACAATGGCTAGAACATGTTTATCCCTCTGTGCATGGAGCATGATATGGGGTATGGGTATGGGGTCCTGACGAAGCTGAGTGAGATACGCCCATCGGCGAAACGCGTTGACGTCATACGTCAGATACGTCACTTCCAGTCATGCGCATTAGGTGGAACGCACGCTGACCTACAAGGAGGAAGCCATTTTCACATGCCATGAGGCAAGCCTAGGCAGCACAGGCGCCGAGAAGAGGCTGGAACCCGCGGTATATCGGCGGATGTCAGCGGTGGTTCCTTGGCCTCCCCGGCCTTGTATGGCAGCACCTATGAAGGATATTCTTTCCTCTCCTATTATCCATTGCACAGGTGGTGAGTGGACTGTTGCAGGACACTAGATATATGGTCCTATGTGACATATATGACCTATATATCCTATATAGAGTGAAAGCTCTTTCAGTGACTTTCCACATATTGTTTGTTTCACTACAGGATGGGGACATCATGGTGCTTTATATAAGAAACAAGATATACCACATGTATTTCAACAGGCAGAAGATCTATTGGGATGTGTCTTGTTTTTCTCACAGAAAGTGGTATGTAGTCCACATGCAGTGGTGAAGAAACCATTTCAAGCAGTGCGCTGCTTTATGCATCTATCCTTCCATCCTGGTAAAAAATGGGGCATATTTTTATTCAAGAGCCCTAGGAAACAGCTGGTAATAATCACAGATGAATGGGCCCCAACCACTTGTGCCGGCATAGGAATGTGTTGCATCATTTACATGACATTTATGTTTTGTCTCTTATAGGCCTAGAGGCATGCCTTCTTTTTGACGCATACTGTGCTTGCTGCATTGCATACATGTGATATTTATATCTATGGTATAATTTTTTGAAACTCCCTGTTTGGGATATAACCATTCTGGTAGTAGCTTAGTCTACATATTTATAACACGTGTTATGGTATACCTATGGTATAATTTTTGTATACACCTCCTTTGGGAAGTGTTCACCTATGCGCCAGTGCTACAGGGACTTTAGACTCTTGTAGTCATTGTCCTTGTTGCACATGCATTTAGACCGGTACTGGTGTCATTTTATATGGTTTTAGGTCTGTGTGTATTGTCTCATACTGAGGTGATGGTAAACCAGGGCGATTGCCCATATGTCAAATTTGTATGTGTAATAAAGCATAATTTTTGGAAATTTTTCTGAGTATCACATTCTGTTCATAATGTAGCCGCTTTCTTTGTGAATTTCTTTTCACAACCCCCTTTTTTTGCAGCATGATATGGGGTACCTACTGTATAGTGGTACAAAACTAAATCTGTGTTATATGTTCTTTGATGGATAGACAGAAATTATGAAATGTGAGACAAGCTCCGGGGTGAAGATACAGTGTGTGTCAGATGCACGTTATTGCTGTTATGTTGTTATGGCAAATTAAGATCCTTCAAAAGAGAAATTTCCTTAATAAAAAAAAGTGTTATATAAATATAGACAATGTATACTCTGTGTGTATATATATATATACACAGTATATATGTGTGTATATATATATATATATATATATACACACCGGTGTGTGTGTGTGTGTGTATGTATATATATATATATATATATATATTATATATATATATAGTTTTGAAACATGACAGCTATACTATGTTTTGACATTGAATAAATACTATCCAATTACTGGTTTTGTCCTATTTTGTATATTGTACATTTTTGGCTTTTACTTCAATTTCCATGGAAAAAATTATTGTAAAAATGTATAAAAGTGTGGGATCTAAAAAAATTTTCCTTTTGGGCTTTGTTTCTGAAAAAGGAGTGAAAAAAATATAATTAATTGCATTAAACTAGTTCATTCCCTCACTGCTCTTGTTTATATTTTGAGAGTCTTTATAACAGAAGTCTCTGTCTAGCAACTATTTATACACTTTGTAGTATAATGAGCTATTTGACTTTCAATCCATTACATTCTTCTGTCATGTCTTCTTTACAACAAAGTGCACATTTACATATGTGTATGTAACATAAGTATATACAAAATCAAAACTTTTGCTTTCTAGTTTTGGATTAAGTGGTGAGGGATCAGAACCACTCTCAGGTTTTCCTTGCCGTATGGGACCCTGCTAGGGAGATTTATTCTATTTGTCTTGATGCCACCTACACAGGACTAAAAGTGTTTGGAAAGCCAAAATTCTGAGCTGTCACCCAAACAAGAATACAGGGGAAATCTTCCATGTTTGCACTGGTGACAACTGTTTGATGGAGGTTTTCCTCACTTTAGAGAGTTCCAAAAATGTATTTTTTGAGTCGACAGGACAGAAAATAAAGGCAAATATCCACACGGGGAAAAGATGATTTAAGAATACCTGAAAGAGGTTCTAACCATTTTCTATGCTATCCAAAATAAAAAAAATGCCCTGGCTTTAAATGTACTTAATTATGATGCACCGCAGTACGTAGAATGTGTATAGTGGTGTATTAATTGGCTGTTCAGTAACATTTGCCCTGTAGTCTAACATTATAGTAAAAATAAATGAAAATTATACTTTTAAGGCTAAAATTCTCATTTGCAGGGCAGTAAGTACAGTAAGGGCAGCGTTTCACTTAAAACCTCATTTGTAGGGCAGTGAGTGTGCTGGATAAAACCCCTCAGGTCCTACAAGTCAAGAGTGAATCACTGATAAAATCATTGGCTTGCTGTCCACTAATGGCAAATGTCCAAATGCAGTTTTGGGACAGTGGCTGCAACATTTAATTTCCTTTTGAAATATGGGAAATCTGGATGTATTGCGAACACTAGCTACCGGTAACTTGTTAGGAAGCTGCGGTTGTATAACTATGCTAGATAACCCAACGGCTTTTCATGCTCAGTGAACACCCAATGATCAGTTAATTTTTAGCCTCTTAATAAATATGAATATGAGTAAACTGATATTTGTTATATTCTATAATATAATTGGGCGATTTCCAAAAGAGAAGTAAGATGAACTGTATAATGCAATCATCAATTTTTGCATAAAATGACTAAAAGCTGTGTCATTTTAAGTCAACAGTGTTGGATACAGTTAAATCTTCTTTTCTACTCTTTTCAGGCTTTGAAGATCAAGTAGTTGTGAAAATTTACAGAACTGACAAGGTGACAAAAGTATTAGTCCTTAGTGGAAGCACTTGATTACAAGTGACAACAAGTGTACTGAACGCTGATCACATGAAAACAGAAGACGGTCAGTTGGAACTGGTATGGAGCAATCTGGTTGCCTGAAAACGGTGTCCATCTCATTTGCTCTCCTCTACTTATTGTATTCATTAGAGGGGACAAGCTCAGAAAAACTCTTCCATAACAGAGACCATTCCGATGTAGAATTACAAAACCATCCACAAGCTGATGCCATTCTGAGCCCGGAGGCAGCACAGGTATGACCAAATGAGATAGTATGACTATTCAATGGTGGATATAGACTGCAGAGAGACACTGTGCAGAAATAAGGTTGGGGCTAGTACAATGACATATATGTTAATACCTGATTTTTATTGCTGGGTTATATATATATCTCCCTCTGACTTAAAATAAGAAATTATTATTATTAAAGGCCAGGGGCGGACTGACCGTTTGGAAACTCGGGCACTGCCCGAGGGCCCGGGGTCAGTAGGGGGCCTCATGAGATGCGCCTAGTACCTTTTTCATAGGATTTTATGAGTTTGGGCAAGGACACAGGGGCCCATGATCCCCTATTGCCCAGGGGCCCCATGAATTGTCAGTCCGCCCCTGCTAAGAGCTCATGTACACTGCAGCTGATAAACTCACGTTTAGGAGCTGTTCAACATTTTTTTCAACAGCCCCTGAACTCACCCTAATGTTTTCCTATGTGTCCATGTACACATCTTCGTTTGCAGTCATTTACAGGCATTTGGGTTTACAGTCGTTTTTTTGAACGCATAAAACTTGCGTTCAGTAGTCGATTTTAGCAGCGTTTCAAACGCAAAATGCCTGTAAATGCTGCAAATTGCATTTATAGGCGTTTGTGTTTGAAATTTTTTTTAACTCTTCCCGTTTCCGATGTTGTCCAGAGACTTTTTTCATCATCAAAAATGCATGCAAATCATTTTTAAGGTACTCAAATGGACAAAACACTGAATACAAAATGTTCCCACCAAGCTTATCACACATTGTAATGACCAATTCACACCTCAGACCTCTCCCACCCTTGGAAACAAAAGATATGTTAATGACTAATTACACCTCAAATTCCTCATGAAGACCCCCTGCCAGGTGGCCTTAATGACTCACTCCACCAGACACCTTCCCACCCTTGGAAACAAAAGAAATGTTAATGAGCAACTCACACCTAAGCTAATGTCAACACATACTGCTGTCTCTGCTTCTACTCTCTGTATTTCTCTGAAACAGTCTGAAATAGTTAATAATTTAACACTTTTCAGTGCATTCTGGGCATTTGGGAGGTTCTCCTGTGCTTATCTTTAAAAAACGCTTCTAAATGCAAACGTGTATAAACACGCATAAACGTGGTATGCAAACACGGCTAAACAGACATTTTTTAACCTACACTTTCCAGCAGTCAGTTTCCATTGTTCAGAAGTGTCTATTGTACATGGGGCCTAAAATGCAAAAGTCTGTATGATTTTATTCTGATTTCCTTAAAGCGGTACTAAACCGTGTTTCAAAAAAAAAAAAAAATCCCCTGCAAGGTAAAGGCATAATGTGCTAGTATACAGTTGCAAGAAAAAGTATGTGAACCCCTTGGGATTATGTGGAGTTTTGCATGAATTGGGCATAAAATGTGCTCTGAACATCATCTAAGTCACAACAATAGAAGAACACAGTCTGCTGAACATAATACTACACAAACATTAGATGTTGCCATGGTTTAATTGCACATAACATTCACAGTGCAGGG